TGAACCAGGAGGTGGAGGTTGCAGTGAGCTCAGATGGTGCCACTGCACTCCAGGCTGGGCAACAGAGTGAGACTTCGTTTCAGAAAAAAAAAAAAAAAAATTCTTCCCACTACAGAACCCTAGTCCATGCTGCCATTATCTTTCACCTAGACCATGGCACAGGCCACCTGTGGGCTTCTCTGCTTCCACTGTTGTTCCACATAGTCCATTCTCTATATAGCAGAGAGTGGCCTTTTCAGAACATCAAGCAGATCATATCACTTTTTTTTCTCAGACAGAGTCTCGCTCTGTCACCAGACTGCAGTGCAGTGGCGCAGTCTCAGCTCACTGCAACCTCCACCTCCCGGGTTCATGCAATTCTCCTGCCTCAGCCTCCCAAGTAGCTGGGATTACAGGCACGCGCCACCACACCCAGCTAATTTTTGTATTTTTATTTATTTTTTATTTTTTATTATTATTATTTTTTTTTGAGTCGGAGTTTATCTCTTGTTACCCAGGCTGGAGTGCAATGGCGCGATCTCGGCTCACCGCAACCTCCGCCTCCTGGGTTCAGGCAATTCTCCTGCCTCAGCCTCCTGAGTAGCTGGGACTACAGGCACGCACCACCATGCCCAGCTAATGTTTTGTATTTTTAGTAGAGACGGGGTTTCACCATGTTGACCGGGATGGTCTCGATTTCTTGACCTCGTGATCCACCCGCCTCGGCCTCCCAAAGTGCTGGGATTACAGGCTTGAGCCACCGCGCCCGGCCTAATTTTTGTATTTTTAATAGAGACTGGGTTTCACCATGTTGGCCAGTATGGTCTCGATTTCCTGAACTCGTGATCCGCCCGCCTCAGCTTCCCAAAGTGCTGGAATTACAGGCAGGAGCCACTGTAACTGGCTTCATATCACTTCTCTATTCAAAAACGAAGAGCTTCCCACTATACCAATAAAATCCAAGATCTTTCTCATGGCCTGGAAGCGTCTCCCTGGTCTCACCCCTGCCCACCTCTCAGACTCAAAAAAATGTTCAACACATCATAGGCACTCACTAAATATTTGTTGAATGAATGAATGCGTGAATGAAGGGCTCGGAATGGGTTCTTTTCTCTACTCCACTCCACCATCTTGGTGTGGATGTTACTACCTGGTCTAGTACCTGTGTGTCTTCACTGGTCTCCTGGCTGACAGTTACTCCCCTTCCACTGTCTAACACAAAGTAACCAGGGTGATGTTTTGAAGACACAGATCTAGCTGGGTGCAGTGGCTCACGCCTGTAATCCCATGCCCTTTGGGAGGCCAAGCCGGGCGGATTGCTTGAGCTCAGGAGTTCGAGTCAAGCCTGGACAGCATGGCAAGACCCAGTCTCTACTAAAAATATATATATAAAAAAAAAGTTGTGCGTGCCTGTGGTCTCAGCTATCCAAGTAGGCCGAGGTAGAGGATCACTTGAGTCCCGAGGGTGGAGGTTGCAGTGAGCTGTGACTGTACCACTGCACTCCAGCCTGGGTGACAGAGGGAGACCCTGTCTAAAACAAATATATATCTATATATATACAGATCTGCCCACAACCTTCACTGCTTTCAAACCTCCAGAGGGCCCGGCGCGGTGGCTCACACCTGTAATCCTAGCACTTTGGGAGGCTGAGGTGGGCAGATCACTTGAGGTCAGGAGTTTGGAACCAGTCTGGCCAACATGGTGAAACCTCTTCTCTACTAAAAATACAAAAATTAGCTGGGCATGGTGGCGGGCGCCTGTCATTCCAGCTACTTGGGAGGCCAAGTCAGGAGAACTGCTTGAACCCAGGAGGTGGAGGTTGCAGTGAGCCAAGATCGCGTCACTGCACCCCAGCCTGGAGACAGAGCAAGGCTCCCTCTCAAAGAAACAAACAAACAGAAACCTCTAGTGGTTTCCTTCTCCCCGAAGGAAATCCCAGACTCCTCTGTCTAGTATTTGAGGTCCCCACTACCTGCATGCGGACCAGCTGTCCAAGTGAGCAAGCTTCCAGAAGTGGGATGAGGGCCTCCGGTGAAACTGGGGAAGTTTTAGAAACATACTGGAAAGTATTAAGTGATGCTGTCCCCAAAGTCTGCCCTTTACAGGTCTTCTCTCTGCAAACTTAAAGGACAAAGTCTCCCTTGGGTATGCGTATGCCTTTAACATCTCTGTACTATTTGCCAGTTTTCCCTTTTAATACAAAAGAAAGAGCAGAGCTTTCCCTGAGGCATTTCCACCTGGCGGCAGCTGGAGAACATTGTTTTTTCCCTAATTTTGCAATCACCTCTTATTTACGGCAAATGATGCTGGTGTACTATTGATGTCAGTGACCTGAAGTTTAAAGGGAATCGCTGTGAACTGATTTAATAAAAAATAAGTCATGGAAGTTACAGCAGACCTTGGGCATGGAGAGGTCATGGTGGCCTGTGCACCGAGGTTGGAAAATAACAGCCACCCCCTGCCCCATCCAGCGTTCCTGCTGCCTCCTCCCGATGCTGCTCACTCCTCAGCCTCGGGTGCACATCTGTCTTGCCTCATTATTGCCTCTGAATCCTCCTTCAAAGCACGCACCACTCCCTTTCCCACAGTGCAGTCACCTGGCCCTCCCTACCACCTCACCAGCTGTCGCCCTCGCCCCTTTGGCTCTTGTCGGCTGCTTCTTATTTCCCCCTGTCCTTGTGGAAACTGAAGCTCTAGGAGGGAGACGCCTCAGGCTATTGCTTCTCCATGATGGGGCGCTCGGCACAGGGCTTTGCCCGTCGACATTTGTTGTGATATGAACTTTCCACGGCTCACACTACTTCTGGGCCCACCACGCAGTGACGGAGTCACCAGTGTCTTCCTCATGTTGGCCCCTGGAGTCAGACAGTGAGCATCAGATCAGCGGCCACACCAGCTATGGAGTGTGACCAGCTGCGGACCTTGGGCAAGGCCCTTCCTGTCTCCTCCTCAGCCTGTATCCTCATTTCTTTTACTTTCTTTCTTTCTTTCTTTCTTTCTTTTTTTTTTTTTTTTTGTGGCAGGGTCTCACTCTGTTGCCCAAGCTTGAGTGCCGTGGCATGATCTGAGCTCACTGCAACCTCTGTCTCCTGGGTTCAAGCAATTCTACTGCCTCAGCCTCCCAAGTAGCTGGGACTACAGGCATGTGCCACCACACCCAGCTATTTTTTTATACTTTTAGTAGAGATAGAATTTTACCATGTTGGCCAGGCTGGTCTCAATCTCCTGACCTCAGCTGATCCACCTGTCTCAGCCGCCCACAGTGCTGGGATTATAGGCGTGAGCCACGGTGCCCGGCCTTGTTTCCTCATTTGTGAAACAGCCACAAGAATGATGACCGCAGAGGGTGTTATGGGGATTAAATTATGTCTAGCCATGTTTGGCAAAGAGGAAGAGCCTAGTGAATGTCCTTGGCATCATGATTTGGTGTCTAGCTCCACCATCGTCAAATAGCTGCCTGGGATCCTGTGATTCAGATCCCTGAGATCATATCCTGGAATTTACATATGATACGTGGATTTGAGAAGCGCAGGTCAAAGGTTATCTGGGTTCCACAGATGAGGAAGTAGGACGATCTCACCAATGTGGGATGACAGAATATTCACACTGCAGGGAACATTCTTTGGATTTTCAAGCAGCCTGTCAGCCAGGGTCCCTTCTACTTCTGGTCCCCACTCTGAGCAATGATGAGATGGTGGAGTAAGCAGCTTCCAGTAGTAGCATGGCCTGGGGACACAAGCTTTCAGAAGAGCTAAAGAGGTCAGCCCAGGCAACATAGCAAAACCTTGTCTCTACTAAAAAAAAAAAAAAAAATTAGCCAGGCTAATTTTTGCTGGCACACTGTGAGTACCCCAGCTACTCAAAAGACTGGGGTGGGAGGATTGCTTGAGCTCTGGAAGCAGAGGTTGCAGAGAGCTATGATGGTACCACCGCTCTCCAGCCTGGGTGGAGAGAGACCCTGACTCAAAAAAAAAGAGGCACCTTCGGCCGGGCGCGGTGGCTCAAGCCTGTAATCCCAGCACTTTGGGAGGCCGAGGCGGGTGGATCACAAGGTCAAGAGATCGAGACCATCCTGGTCAACA